ATTATCTTGCTAGTTTGTTCATTACTCAAGGTAGATTTGATAAATATAAATAATTTTGATGCTAATTTATATTAATAGTTTTCTATTTACTCACGTTAACTGTCCCATGCTCATGTTGGATGGATGGAGATGATGGATTGTGTTTGTAGTTTTTTTTTTCTTTTTTTTTAAAAAAATAAAAAATAAAAAAGTGTTGTAATTTATAGGTGTAGATCTTTTAAATTTGCTTTTACTCGCTAATTGTCCCTTGTTCATGCGGGATGAATAAGGATGACGGAAGATTTTAGTAGTAATTTTGTAAATCTTTTTATTGCTCACATTAGATGACCCCTCCTCACGTTATTAAAACGGTTGGATGGTAAGAAGTTTCTTGGATAAAGCGTCTAATAACTTGTTCTATATTCGTACGTAATTCAGTATATAGTTTTTATAGTATTTATAAATCGATAAGAATACGTATTAAAGTATCTGATTTTCAGGGTTCCTTTTTTGATAAATATAAATACTTATGACGCTGTCCCATGCTCATCCCTCCTCACGTTGTTGAAACGGCTGGTGGATGGATAAGGAGTTTCTTGGATAAACGTCCAATGACTTGTCCTATGTCGGTACGTAAAATTCAGTATAAAGTGTATTTCTAAATCGATAAGAATATGTATGAATGTATCTGATTTTCAGGGTTCCTTTTTCTTGATAAAAGCAATATAAGTATATTTTCAAATAAATTATTTGATACGCGTAAGATTATAGTTCGGAAAAAAAAGAAGTGTGATTGGCACTAAAAATAAAAAGGAAAAAAATTTAATTTACATTAAGTAAATTATCTTGCTAGTTTGTTCATTACTTAAGCTAGATTTGATAAATATAAATAATTATGACGTTAATTTATATTAATAGTTTTCTATTTACTCACATTAACTGTCCCATTGTCATCTTGGATGGATGGAGATGATGGATTGTGTTTGTAGTTTTTTTTTCTTTTTTTTTTAAATAAAAAAAGTGTTGTAATTTATAGATGTAGATCTTTCAAATTTGCTTTTACTCGCTAATTGTCCCTTGTTCAATGTTCATGCGGTATGAATAAGGATGATGGAGGATTTTAGTAGTAATTTTGTAAATCTTTTTAATGCTCACGTTGGATGACCCCTCCTCACGTTATTGAAATGGTTGGATGGTAAGAAGTTTCTTGGATAAAGCGTCCAATTAATTGTTCTATATTCGTACGTAATTCAGTATATAATTTTTATAGTATTTTTAAATCGATAAGAATATGTATGAATGTATGTGATTTTCAGGGTTCCTTTTTCTTGATAAAAGCAATATAAGTATATTTGCAAATAAATTATTTGATACGCGTAACATTATAGTTCCGAAAAAAGAGAAGTGTGATTGGCACTAAAAATAAAAAGGAAAAAAATTTAATTTACATAAATAAATTATCTTGCTAGTTTGTTCATTACTCAAGGTAGATTTGATAAATATAAATAATTATGACGCTAATTTATATTAATAGTTTTCTATTTACTCACGTTAACTGTCCCATGCTTATCTTGGATGGATGGAGATGATGGATTGTGTTTGTAGTTTTTTTTTTCTTTTTTTTTTTTTTAAATAAAAAAAGTGTTGTAATTTATATATGTAGATCTTTCAAATTTGCTTTTACTCGCTAATTGTCCCTTGTTCATGCGGGATGAATAAGGATGATGGAAGATTTTAGTAGTAATTTTGTAAATCTCTTTATTGCTCACGTTGGATGACCCGTCCTTACGTTATTGAAACGATTGGATGGTAAGAAGTTTCTTGGATAACGCGTCCAATTACTTGTTCTATATCCGTACGTAATTCAGTATATAATTTTTATAGTTTTTTAAATGGATAAGAATATGTATGAAAGTATCTGATTTTCAGGGTTCCTTTTTTGATAAATATAAATAATTATGACGCTGTCCCATGCTCATCCCTCCTCACGTTATTGAAACGGCTGGTGGATGGATAAAGAGTTTCTTGGATAAAGCGTCCAATGACTTGTCCTATGTCGGTACGTAAAATTCAGTATATAGTGTATTTCTAAATCGATAAGAATATGTATGAATGTATCTGATTTTCAGGGTTCCTTTTTCTTGATAAAAGCAATATAAGTATATTTACAAATAAATTATTTGATACGCGTAAGATTATAGTTCGGAAAAAAGAGAAGTGTGATTGGCACTAAAAATAAAAAGGAAAAAAATTTAATTTACATTAAGTAAATTATCTTGCTAGTTTGTTAATTACTTAAGCTAGATTTGATAAATATAAATAATTATGACGTTAATTTATATTAATAGTTTTCTATTTACTCACGTTAACTGTCCCATGCTCATCTTGGATGGATGGAGATGATGGATTGTGTTTGTAGTTTTTCTTTCTTTTTTTTTTTAAAAATAAAAAAAAAGTGTTGTAATTTATAGATGTAGATCTTTCAAATTTGCTTTTACTCGCTAATTGTCCTTTGTTCAATGTTCATGCGGGATGAATAAGGATGATGAAAGATTTTAGTAGTAATTTTGTAAATCTTTTTAATGCTCACGTTGGATGACCCCTCCTTATGTTATTGAAATGGTTGGATGGTAAGAAATTTCTTGGATAAAGCGTCTAATTACTTGTTCTATATTCGTACGTAATTCAGTATATAATTTTTATAGTATTTTTAAATCGATAAGAATATGTATGAATGTATCTGATTTTCAGGGTTCCTTTTTCTTGATAAAAGCAATATAAGTATATTTGCAAATAAATTATTTGATACGCGTAACATTATAGTTCCGAAAAAAGAGAAGTGTGATTGGCACTAAAAATAAAAAGGAAAAAAAGTTAATTTACAAAAATAAATTATCTTGCTAGTTTGTTCATTACTCAAGCTAGATTTGATAAATATAAATAATTATGATGCTAATATATATTAATAGTTTTCTATTTACTCACATTAACTGTCCCATGCTCATGTTGGATGGATGGAGATGATGGATTGTGTTTGTAGTTTTTTTTTCTTTTTTTTTTTTAAAAATAAAAAATAAAAAAGTGTTGTAATTTATAGGTGTAGATCTTTTAAATTTGCTTTTACTCGCTAATTGTCCCTTGTTTATGCGGGATGAATAAGGATGATGGAAGATTTTAGTAGTAATTTTGTAAATCTTTTTATTGCTCACATTAGATGACCCCTCCTCACGTTATTAAAACGGTTGGATGGTAAGAAGTTTCTTGGATAAAGCGTCTAATAACTCTTTCTATATTCGTACGTAATTCAGTATATAGTTTTTATAGTATTTATAAATCGATAAGAATACGTATTAAAGTATCTGATTTTCAGGGTTCCTTTTTTGATAAATATAAATAATTATGACGCTGTCCCATGCTCATCCCTCCTCACGTTATTGAAACGGCTGGTGGATGGATAAAGAGTTTCTTGGATAAAGCGTCCAATGACTTGTCCTATGTCGGTACGTAAAATTCAGTATATAGTGTATTTCTAAATCGATAAGAATATGTATGAATGTATCTGATTTTCAGGGTTCCTTTTTCTTGATAAAAGCAATATAAGTATATTTACAAATAAATTATTTGATACGCGTAAGATTATAGTTCGGAAAAAAGAGAAGTGTGATTGGCACTAAAAATAAAAAGGAAAAAAATTTAATTTACATTAAGTAAATTATCTTGCTAGTTTGTTAATTACTTAAGCTAGATTTGATAAATATAAATAATTATGACGTTAATTTATATTAATAGTTTTCTATTTACTCACGTTAACTGTCCCATGCTCATCTTGGATGGATGGAGATGATGGATTGTGTTTGTAGTTTTTTTTTTTCTTTTTTTTTTTAAAATAAAAAAAGTGTTGTAATTTATAGATGTAGATCTTTCAAATTTGCTTTTACTCGCTAATTGTCCCTTGTTCAATGTTCATGCGGGATGAATAAGGATGATGGAAGATTTTAGTAGTAATTTTGTAAATCTTTTTAATGCTCACGTTGGATGACCCCTCCTTACGTTATTGAAATGGTTGGATGGTAAGAAGTTTCTTGGATAAAGCGTCCAATTACTTGTTCTATATTTGTACGTAATTCAGTATATAATTTTTATAGTATTTTTAAATCGATAAGAATATGTATGAATGTATCTGATTTTCAGGGCTCCTTTTTCTTGATAAAAGCAATATAAGTATATTTGCAAATAAATTATTTGATACGCGTAACATTATAGTTCCAAAAAAGAGAAGTGTGATTGGCACTAAAAATAAAAAGGAAAAAAAGTTAATTTACATAAAGAAATTATCTTGCTAGTTTGTTCATTACTCAAGCTAGATTTGATAAATATAAATAATTATGACGCTAATTTATATTAATAGTTTTCTATTTACTCACGTTAACTGTCCCATGCTTATCTTGGATGGATGGAGATGATGGATTGTGTTTGTAGTTTTTTTTTCTTTTTTTTTTAAATAAAAAATGTGTTGTAATTTATAGATGTAGATCTTTCAAATTTGCTTTTACTCGCTAATTGTCCCTTGTTCATGCGGGATGAATAAGGATGATGGAAGATTTTTTTAGTAATTCTGTAAATCTTTTATCGCTCACGTGGGATGACCCCTCCTCGCGTTATTGAAACGGTTGGATGGTAAGAAGTTTTTGGATAAAGCGTCTAATAACTTGTTTTATATTCATACGTAATTCAGTATATAGTTCTTATAGTATTTATAATTTGATAAGAATACGTATGAAAGTATCTGATTTTCAGGGTTTCTTTTTCTTGATAAAATCAATATAGTAAATAAATTATTTGATACGCGTAATATTATAGTTCGGAAAAAAGAGAAATGTGATTGGCACTAGAAATAAAACGGGAAAAAAAAGTTAACCCAAAAATGGATTTATATTAGAATTGGTGGGGCCTGTTTCAACAGTTTTTTTCGGCCGCCCCACTTTGTCGTCTCTCTCGTCTCCGTCCTTCACCGTCGTCCCTTTGCGTTTGACTTCACGCTACTCTCTCTCTCTCTCTCTTTCTTCACCGTTCTTTCTCTCTCTTCCTCAGCCTTTAAATTTCACTCAACAGGGAAAATTTCTTCAGTTCTTCACCATAAGCCTTTTGTCATTTGAGCTCTGGTCTGTTCTGGGAACTCTGCGGCTTTGTTCATAAACAACGCAAGAGTTCACACTATCGCTCTCACCCGCAGTCAAAGCTTTGTCTCTGAATCGTTATGAATAATCAAACGCTTCTCTTTTTCAAGATCAGTGCCCCCATCTAAAGCTTCCCCTACAGAAAAACAAGAAAAGAAAAAAAAAAAGATTCCTTCTTTAGAGCTTTCGGAGAAGACAGACAGTCATGGCAGGCAGTAGCGAAATCAACGCTAGGGAATCCAAGGTGCGTGTGTTCTGAGGAAATATTTATCCTTTGTTGGTTGATTCCAGGAGGAGGGTATTTGGTTTTGGCTTGATTTTTCCCTTGCTCTCATGATTTGTGTTGGAGGTTGACCTTATTCTCTCCCCCTATAAGAAAGTTTGGGTGTTGGGAACACCCAAAGTTTGATTTGGGGAAAAAGTTTGAAACTTTACATTTAATTTTATGATTTGGGTAGTGCCTATTTATGGATTGCTCTGTTTGCCACGGATCGAGCAACAGTCTTTGTGAAATCAAAATAAGCTTTTGTTTTGCTTTCCTGTTAGGTGGGTTTGGGGTTGTTTCTATGCCTTTCTACTTTATTTCTTTATCTGGGTATGCATCATTATTTTCAGAATTTTCCTTTACTGGTGATTGCTATTAATGGATTCAACTGAGAAGCCATCAACCATGATCAATCAACTAGGCCTCAGTACTTACATTTAAGGGACTGTCTCTTTTCTTGGTACTTTGAAGATGTTTCTTTAATTTCTATGCTTTCTTTTCTTGTTTGCAGAGTGTGGTTCCACTCAACACCTGGATTCTCATATCAAATTTCAAGGTGGCTTACAATCTGCTCAGGAAGCCTGATGGCACATTCAACCGTGAGTTGGCTGAGTTTCTTGACAGGAAAGCCATGGCAAATACCATTCCAGTTGATGGGGTTTACTCTTTTGATGTTCTGGATGGGGCCACCAATATCCTTAACAGGATATACAAACCTGCCCCCGAGAATGAGGCTCGTTGGGGTTTGCTAGAACTCGAGAATCCTTTGAGTACAACTGAGGTTGTTCCTGTTATCGTGTTCTTCCATGGTGGAAGCTTCACTCACTCCACGGCTAATAGTGCTATCTATGATGCGTTTTGCCGGAGGGTTGTTAGGATTTGTGATGCGGTGGTGGTTTCTGTGGACTATCGTCGCTCCCCTGAGCACCGATACCCTTGTGCTTATGAGGATGGGTGGTCTGCTCTTAAGTGGGTTCACTCTAGGGAATGGCTGAAGAGTGGGAAGGAGGGTAAGGTCCATGTTTACCTAGCGGGTGATAGCTCGGGTGGGAATATCGCTCACCATGTTGCGGTGAAGGCTGCAGAGTCGGGTGTCGAGGTTTTGGGGAATATTCTCCTGCACCCGATGTTTGGTGGGGAGCAGAGGACCGAGTCGGAGACGAAATTTGATGGGAAGTACTTTGTGACGGTCCGAGACAGGGATTGGTACTGGAGGGCCTTTCTGCCCGAAGGGGAAGATAGAGATCATCCGGCTTGTAACATATTTGGCCCGAGGAGCAGAAGCCTCGAGGGGCTAAAGCTCCCGAAAAGTCTCGTTGTTGTGGCTGGCTTTGACATCTCTCAGGACTGGCAGTTGGCTTATGTCGAAGGGCTTAAGAAGTCCGGGCAAGACGTGAAACTTCTGCATCGTAAGCAGGCAACCATCGGCTTCTATTTCCTGCCCAACAATGACCATTTTTATACCCTTATGGAGGAGATAACGGACTTCATCCACCCCGACTGTTCATAAATCACCTAACTTCAATTACAGGCACCTATATGGCTATATACATAACATAAGCGTTGACATATCTCCCCAGTCCCCCCGTGTTTTTGCTTCCTTTTGCCAGTTAATATTATCGTGATATCGTGTGTAGCTAGTTATAAGGTTGTGTAGATTTACTTGTTCCTGTTTTCGACTAGTAGAAACTCTGCATCTTCCTAGGTATCTATGTTGTCTTCCTAGGTATCGAAAGTCGTAAGTCTGTCCTATGGTTCCCAATTCACATCACTTTCAGGAGTCCAGCAGATCTGTTGCTCGAGCCTCTCGCGTTTCAGCAGGTGTGATGGTGTTGATTCGAGCTTCCCCTCGTTGGCTGGCTGTGAAGACGCAAATCGTGGATCAAAATCTCATCTTTTGTTATGCTTTAGCTAGGTAGACTTCACTGGAGTGATGTATTGAATCTATTCAGTTACTGAGTATCCAAGAAAAAAAAAAAAACTAATTTTAGGACATGAATTGGGAAACCTATGCTGTTGTTTAGCTTTTGTTTGTATGTTTTACTATGTTGTACTGTGCCTTAGAAATACATAAAACATTTTGGTTTAATTTCTGCAGTTCTAAGTTCTAACTCCCCCTTTCCTTTTCTGTCTGAGGAGATATTCATCTCATTTCCATCTTTGACATCATTAAACTCAATTCTTGAAATTCTTGAAATTCAGAACTACTAACAAAAATGAAACATATGCATAATTATTGCATATTTTCTTGACTACCAAACAAAGAAAAATTGGGTTTTTTGTTTTTTTTTTTTTTTCCTTGTTTTCCCCAAAGATGTCTGGTGGTAAAATATGAGTACTGTACTAGTGAAAGGGGGGAAAGAAAGAAAGAAAGAAAATGGAAATTGAAATGATGGGTACAGGAGAGGAGAATGGGAATTCCTTCCTAGTTGTACCCCGTTAAGGATTAAATTCCCTACATTGAAGACATCAAAGTTTTGTCTCACTTTTCTCCCAAAGTGTTTGAAGTTATTGTAGTGATCTGCTAAAACTGGTGTCTCTGGTGGTGGACCATAGTGGGAATCAGTCCCGTTGTCATGCCAATAACCAAACCCCGTCCACCCAAAAAAGGACATGCCAACTATTTCCATCCAACCAGGGTTTTATCATTGGCTATGGGTCCCTTTCAATTCATCCATCCCTCAATCTCATCTTGTGTTCTAGCATGTGTAAAATACTACTCACACAATAACATTTTTTTTAAAAAAAATTTATTTACCCGAATTATCATGTCGTGTTGATGGGATAACTGAAATATTAAGCTTTGTTTGTTGAGGTTGTCTCAGCTAAAGCTAGAGGGTTAGCTGGTCAGGAGACTTAAGGTGGCTGAATTGTTGAATGATATGTGCGAGAGGTTGTTGTGTCTTATATATATATATCTTGTATCAACCGTCATTGTGTTGAGGTATATATTAGCTGAAACCATCTAGGGTTTTTGCACAGGTAGAGAGCCTAGAGTGGGTTTCTGAATGGTATGCGCGTGAGGCTACTGTTGTGTCCTTTAATTTATATATCTTGTATAGTGATCAAATCAAACACGTATTTAACTTGTAATGAACTTGTTGATCACTCAATGCAACATTGTGTTCCGTGTATTACCACTCTTGTCTTATTACACCTTCATTATTCTGATCTTCAGTTATTTTTGGGGCTAATTCATATTAATATTGTCACATATTGTATTGAGAAGGGTATTTATCTTGTACTTAAACGACTCAAATTCTTTTAACCGGTGATAAAACATTAAACTTAACATTAAACAATAATTGTGATTATAAATAGATGGTTTGGTTTCCTTGTCTTGTGGGATATATACATGGTTCATGGTTGACGTTGATATGATTCATTGTTTGTCAGCACTATGATGGTGGGGGATGCATTTTGTTTTGTATTCAAGGGGAGAAGGTAGTCAACTAGTGGTTGGGACTAGGGAAGTTGTTTGTTTTCAATTTTGGATGGAATGGTATCAAATATTAAATACTAGTAATTAGGGGGACCACTTTGAAAAACCACAAAAACAATACCCCTTTGCCTTTGGATTTTCACGATTTTATTTTGGGATTGTTTGAGTACGTGGCCACAAAATGGTAAAAAGGAGTTTTGACAAAATCAATCTTAGAGCATCCTTATCAGTTGGGGATATTAGGGGGAGAATGTAAGAGTGAATAGGAAAGAGAATAATATGGGAGGGGAGGGGAAAAAAATCAAAACTGATTTTATAAAAAATATATATATAAAAAATAAGCATGTCATTTCTCTATTGGTTCTTTATCCTTCATCATTAATTATTTTTCTTGGGCAGAGTAATATCCTAACATTTGCAGATGCTCCCCACCCCTTCTCTCTCTTCATTCTCTCTCTGTCACCATAGCATTTTGGCCTCAAAAGTAGTGAATTCTCCCCTATTTCTCCTCTGATGTAGATGCTCTTAGCTTCTTCTTTTGGGGGGAGTGGGGGTTGAGGGTTAGGGGTTGAGGGTTATAATTATGATGGTGGTTGATTGTTTTGGATAGTTTTTAAATAGTCAATTTCTTGTTGTTATTATGTTGTATAATAAATAATAAATTGGAAAGGTAACATATTATGCTGATAACCTAATTTACGTTTTTTTGGATAAACATAGATAGAGGTTATAAATACAATCCCTTGGTGGTTGATTGTTTTAGGTGGTTTCTGGGTGCTCAATTTTGTTGTTGTTAGAGCATTCACAATGATGGGGGAGAATGAGGGATAATATAAGAGTGATTAGGAAAGAGAATGTGGGGAGAGGAGGGGAGGAAGAAAAAAACTATTAAAAAAAAAAAAAAAAGTTTAGGCGTGCCTGACGCGCGTGCATTGCACGCGCCCGTGTGGGCTGCTGCTGTGCACGAAACGCGCACAGCAGCTGTTCCTTTATTTTTTGATTTTTCACATAATTTTTTACATTTGTAGAGACATTCTTTCCAAATCTATTCTCCCCCACATTAACTATAAATTTGAACTGAGTGAATTAATGCTGCATTCTCCCCATATTATTTACTGATATGGATGCTCTTACTGCATTGTATAATTAATTGAAAAGTCAACATATTATATATATACTGACAACTTACTTTATGATTTTCGGATAAACAAATATTGAAATTTTATCTCCCACCAAAAAAGAAAATTGAAATTTTATCATAAATAGATTTAGGTGGTTTCTTGACACACTTTATTTTTACAAAGGGAAGGGGAATACCCATACAATCTATGCCTACACTAAGACTCGAAATCTAGACCTCCCACATAGAGGAGCAATTCAATACCAGTGGACCACAAGCCACTTGGTTCTTGACACACTTTATGATCATCATGTCATATAATTAAATGAACAAGTAACATATTATATTGTAGCAGCAACCTACTATCCGTCTTTTTTGTTGACAAAATATTTATTTATTTATTTTTATCATAAATAGATTTGGGTGGTTTCTTGCTACTCTTTGTTGTTACTATGTCATGTAATTATTTGAAAAATTAACATATTATATTGACGACCTACTTTACATCTTTTTGATAAACAAAGATTTAATTTTTATCATAAATAAATTTGAGTGATTTCTTGACGCACTTTATGATCTTCTCGTCATATAATTAATCGAACAGGTAATATATTATAATAGAGATCGATCTACTTTCTGTCTTCCTCATAAACAAAGATGTAATATAATTATGATCCCTTGGTAGTTGATTATATTGTTTTGGGTGGTTTCTAGGTACTTAATTCTTTATTATTACTACGTTGTATAATTAATTGAAAAGTTGAGAAAGTAGTTAAAAATAGATAATGTATTGTAATAGAGTTAATAGTATTCAAATTTTTTATTTTTTTTTGAAAAGTTAACGTACTATACTAACGATCTACTTTACGTTTTTTTTTTTTATAAACAGAGATCGGGGTTATAATTATGATCCCTTGGCGGTTGATTGTTTCGGGTGGTTTCTGAGCACTCGACACTTAGTTGTTACTGCATTGTAAAATTAATTGAAGAGTTAACGCATTATACTGACGGCCTACTTTCTGTTTTTTGGATAAACAGAGATTAATGTTATAATTATGATCCCTTGGTGGTTGATTGTTTTGGGTGATTTATGGGTACACAATTCTTTGTTGTTATTATGCTTTATAATTAATTAAAAAGTTAACATATAATATTATACCTGCGATCTACTTTACGTTTTTCGGATAAATAGGCCGGGATTGAATTTTTACAATTTTATAATAAATAGATTTGAGTGATTTTCTGGCACACTTATTGATCATCACATCATATAATTAATTGAATAAGTAACGTATTGTGGCACTTTTGTCTTTCTCATAAACAAATATTTAATTTTTTTTTTATCATAAATAGATTTGAGTGGTTTATTGCTACTCTTTGTTGTTATTACATCATGTAATTAATTGAAAAATTAATGTACATACTATACTGGCAACCTACTTTACGTTTTCTTGATAAACAAAGATTTAGGTTTTACGATAAATAATTTAGGTGATTTTTTGACACACTTCAATGTCCTCACGTCATATAATTAAGTGAACAAGTAACATATTATACCATTATCTAGAGTTAGGAGAATATATATCATATATGATATTTGGTGATTGCAATGTTAATTTGTTTTGGGTGAAAGATTATTTGAGGCTATGTATATAGACAAAATGAGCTCAGAACTGAGGCTATCATACTATAGTATCAGCATTGTTGAATTCGTTGGACCAAAAACAGACAATTGAAAGGCGGTTTTATTGGTTGTGGGCAAACGTTGTCGCGACGTTAGTTGTCGTCTTCTTCTTCTTCGCTGTTTCGATAAAAAAAAATGTAATGTTTATTCGATTGGGTCGTAGTCGGCGGCGGCCTGACTGTTCACACTTTGCTGCCTCTTTGTTCATGTGTAATACGAACGAAAGAAAGAATATTATGCTCTTCCACATCGCTATTATGATAATCACTATTAATTTACTGTTAATGTTTTGTTTTTTTTTTTTTGGTTAAAAAATAATAAAATAGTATGGATATTGCCTGTACCAGTTAGGACTGTCTTGTAACATCAGGAAAGACTGGTTTATTTAAGAATTAATTATAATTAGGAAACGTTTGTGGCGTGAAGACTAGGAGACAACATGCGAACCACCACTATATTCACTTACAACATCCCATTAACTTTAACATTTCATATCAACATTCACTAATCTTGTGTTTATATATATATATATATATATATATATATATATATATATATATATATATATATATATAATCGTTAGAGTTTTTTTCTCAATTTTAAAAAGGGAGGGGATTGAAGTGATCACCAAACTGACAAGCACTTAACTAATTGCTCAGTTGAGCATTTTGCGTTGCTCAAGTATGTGTAACTTTGACAACCACTCTAATTGTCTACATGTGCATCTTACGTGCAACTCAAGTGCAATTTTGACAATCGTTCTAATTGTCTAGCTGAGCATCCTATGTGCAACTTTAGTGCAATTTTGACAATCGCTCTAATTGTCTAGCTGAGCATCCTATGTGCAACTTTAGTGCTTTTTTTTAAAAAAGAGTTTAAAAATCAATGTAATTGCTACGATCAATTTTTTTTCTTCTTGATTTTGTCGTGTCATCCATTCTCAATAACGCAAATCCCTGATGGGAATTTTTGAGTCACGAGAAAAAAATTCTCTGGAAAAATATACATCTAAACAAATGTTAATGAGATGGTGTGTTTAGACTTTAGGTTTAGAGTATGACTAAGCTAAGAATAAATTTGACCTAAAATAAAGGACTTAAAGACTATAATTTGATAAATTCATATCAAAATTAAATGTAAAAATATCACTATATATATAGAAAACTAACCAATATTAGAATTAACCCTATACTTGCCTTACTAGGAATACTAGGGATGTGTTCAATTTTTCAAACATTGAACAAAAGTGTTATTGCAAATTGTCATTTGTGGTTGCCGACTTGTCGAGTTTTTTTTTTTTAAAGTATTTATTGGTCATGGAGAATTTGTGCACCCAAATTAAAGCAAATCTCACTTTACACTTTAAATTACGAATTTCTGGTGGAATAAACTTTGCTAGATTTTATTTTTGGATACATAGTATTATATTTATACCAATTCAAAGCTAAAATCTTTGGCCCAAAGGTGTAGCCGTCGCACTTCAAACCGTAATATATCTTCCAAAAGTTATATAATTTACTATTTAAATAATTTCATGTATAATAAGTAATAACCTACAACATACTCGATCGAGATGGTATTGAAAAAAAAAAAAAAAAAAGTAAAGTTTTCATATTTTAGTATAAAACTTATACTTTACTTATTTGGTCGGGGTATTATTTATTATTTTTAATTCCAAGTAAAGGGTCCGTTTGGAAAGCAGGAAAATGACTTCTGGAAAATGGTTTCTGGAAAATGAGTCATTTTCCGGAAAACATTTTCCTTTTCCAGTGTTTGGTTGCATTTGGAAAACTGTTTTGGTGTGTTTGGTTCATTTTCTGGAAAATGAGAGTAGAATGGTATAATTAAATATTTTAATTATTTTATTCTAAATTAAAAATTTATTTTAAATCTCTAAAAAAAATAAATAAATAAATAAAAATTATGGCTTCCGGCTGAACTAAACCAAGGGTGGTTTCTGGCGGAACTGGGTTCCGCCAGAAACCATAGAATTTAAAAAAAAAAAAAAAAAAAATGAAAGAGAAGAGGCGGAAAACGACTTCCGCCCAAATTTGGCGGAAGTCGTTTTCCGCCAAATTGGCCCCATTTTCCCCAGTCAACGGAAAATGGATTCCGTTGACTGGATTTTTCAGGTGTAGCCAAACACCAAAAACCCGGAAAATGACTTCCAGAAGTCATTTTCCGGGTTTCCAAACACAGCCTAAAAGAAAATCGTAAGGAAGCAAATAATAGGTGGTATAAGCTATGGGTTCAATATGTAAATTGTGTATTTTGGACCCGTGGTATAATTGTTGATAATTTTCGGGTTAAATAAATATCCGCTCAGTTTTGGGTCAATTTGTTTGGACCATCAGGCCTACCTGGTTTCACTAATTGGCCTAATGTTCTTATCCATGTTTAATGTGTTAGGCCCAAACACTAATTTTATGATCTTTTGGGATTAGCCCATTATTTTCAACCTAGATTGACATACGTATTTATGAATTATACATCATTCTTTGGAATTGAACACTTGTTATGTCCCTGATGAATGCTATATATAATAATGAGATGGATGTTCATATATATATAATATGGTTGATCTAATGTTGATGATGAAAATTAAAGCAGGTTTTTGGGGAAGTTAGGTTGCATTATTGGGATATTATTATTCGTTTCTTTAGCAAAACGTTAATTAGTTGCGGCTGCCATGCACAAGCTCTCATCATTATATTTCAATTCTTTCCCTTCTTATATACACTGCGTACAATACAATCTATTCATACATAAACAAATCATATATACTTCTTTATCAACCACGTGCATCCCTCTCGATCGCCACCTAAACTTATAACTAATCCGCCCAAAATGGGGACCAAATAACCAATTGCAATGTTATATATCCTCGTTTAGTTTTTTTCAGAGATTATATATGTTAATATAATTAAGATTGTATCATTGTCCATTTCTTAAGAAGCAGATAATTTGTGATACTCTATTTTAAATGGCTCACATTTGGGACTTTTTTTGCCTTCTATTGTTTAAAATCTTGGCCCACTTTAAATAGCTCGACTCTGGACTCTTCTCGACTCTATTTGGACATTAATTATCAAACATTAGGTAGTTATTAAGTCAATGCCCACAATACCCCGGCCCACTCTAGACGACTCTCTTTTGATCTCACCAAACATTGGGTAACTTTCTTCTAAGTAGTCGTTTCCTAGCTAGCTAATTATAGGCACTAAAATTAGGACTCTTACTCCACCACAAAAGTTAGATCAAGATCAGAGTAAAGTTTTAAATCCAACTTAATTAAGTACCATTCTCCAATTTTTTTAAAGAGCCAATATATGATCATATCTTTGTCCATCCGTTGATGAGAAGCAAATGTTTGTGCACACACTCTAAATCCTTCTTGACCCACTTTGGACAACCTTTTGACCTCATCAAGCATCATGTAGCCGGCCTTCTCCTAAAAGCATCACCAGCAGTAGACTTTTCTTGGTTTTTAGAACAGTAAAAAATTTAGTAACTTATTTTTGTCTAATGGGAAGCATGATTTTTTGTAAGATTTTTCTCATGCATGTTTTTGCAGGCGTCAAAGTGGTCGGCAATTTTTTTATTTTTAATGTTAGAATCTTTTTATTTTTCTTTTTCTCTTCCATTTTTTTTCTCTCTCTCTCTCCTATATGGTCTCCTAAAATATTGTGCAAAAATCCAACAGATGGAGATGTTCTAAGTAATCCATTCACAATACGCATCAGCCTCCAACAAGAGTACTAATTATAAACACTAAACTAATTACGACTCTAACCCTATCACAAAAGTTTGATCAATGTTACAGTTTTGACTCCATCCTAACTACTTTGAAAGTATTATTACATACTTATGCATTTACATCTAGATCTACGGTCGAGAATTAACTGTAAAAATAGGAGTATATAACTATATATACAATTAAGTATATGAAGAAACGTAGTAGGTAAACATTTAGGTGTAGAAAGGATAGATGGGTGGGTGAAAATAGGTAGAAATACGGAGAAAAATACAAAATTCATTCCATGAATATACGAAGTATCTTAGCTGGCCGGCCCCAGAGATTAACGTCTCCTTCTTGTCTTTTGCAGTTCTAGTGTCTGGAGCAAGTGCATATATAAAGGCAAAAATGGCAGAGAACACATGAACTCTGCTCCCCACTATTGTATGCTATATTGCTATATCACTCTCCCGCAGATTAAAGAAAGAAAAACACACCACAAAAGTACAACCAAACAAACCCTTCATTCATTGTTAACGTTGGAACATTCCCAAGTACTCTCGGATTGGTCCATTTTTCTGCTGTTTCTACCACCTTCCAATCCTATTGCACCTGCTGTTTGGAACAACAACTGCACTGTTTACTCGGATAAATATAATGATTAGTTGATTGTCAAATTAGGATTTTCTTGTTCACAAAGGTAAAATTCTCTCGCCCGAGCTTCTATATCCTGATCGGCTGATCCAAGAAGATAGTGGAGAGGTAAATCACGTTGATTCAATGACCAATTAGGTGGAAGGATAAGTGTCTAATGTCACAAGGAGCTCACCACATTGCAGCGACATGACTCGATTATATGTCCTTGCCCACAATTTATCATCTAGGAACTAACTGAGCTACGAGCAAATTAGGGTTTTCTTGTCTACAAATGTAAAATTCTCTGGCCCCAAGCATCTATACCCTATTCCAAAATGACACTGTAGAGGTAAATTGCGTTGACCCAATGACCAATTAATTAGGTGGAAGGATCAGCCTACCACATTGAGTATAACTCTCACATTGCGGCGTCATGATTCGATTATATGTCATTACCCACAATTTATCATCTAGGAACCAACTGAGCTACCAGCAAATTAGGATTTTCTTAATATTGTTGTAAAATGCCAAATACCCTTTATATTTGTTAATTGCTTGTAAATTAGTTGATTCATAAAAAAAAACGACTTAATAATTAAATGTCAATGACCTTGTGGTCTATTGACAGGAAGATGTTCTCCCAAATGGAAGGTTATGAGTTTGAGCCCAATAAGAACAAAATCAATAGAAATAAAAGAATAATTAAATAAAAAATTCAACCAAATAATGCCATTTAATGAATAGCTATATTTCTCATTTTGGGGGACATAGTTGTGTAATTAAAGACAAAAATAAGCCAAAGTTGGGTCTAATTTGGCCTTGAGAGAATAAGAAACTGAGCTATTTTTCTCTCTCCTGGTATGCACAAATTCCTTTCTTATTTAAATCATTTTTCTTAATTACCCTTAATTTGATAAGAATTAATAAATCAATCTCACCTTAATCTCCTCAACAAATACTATAATTAATCCAGTATTCCCGTTTTGCCCCCGACTCGGCCCTGTCAATTCCTGTTTTGACCCTTCCACTCGACGCACTGATTCGTCGGCCTGGACTTCTGCTTCCCGGCTTTCAACGGGCACGGCGTTTGAATCGGCGGCACCATACAGTTATACTGCAGGCACAGGGACGTCGTCACCGGAATATCGGCCGTCGGACTTATGGCGATTCCGGTGAGGAAGTTGTGCTGTAAGTAGAGAACCTGGATGCTGGCGGAGAGAAGGCGGTCGACGAAACCGCCGGGGACCTCGCCGGCGAAGCGGTTGTTGTTGAGGTAGAGATTCTGGACGGTGGAGAAGAGGGGAGAGATTTCGCCGTACAAGTGGTTGTAACTGAGATCAACGGTGGGGATTGTGACCTGATCGAGGGGTAAGACCCGCCCGGAGAATTGATTCCGCTGGAGTTGGAGATTCGCGAGGGGGAAACTGAAAATGTTTCCCGGGATTTCGCCGGTGAACTGGTTTAAACTGAGGTCGAGATAATTCAAGTTTTTTAACCCGGTTAAAATCCGGTTCACCGGCCCGCTCAGCTTGTTCCATGATAACGAGAGAAACTGGAGAGATGGAGGGAAAGCATTCGCCGGGAGAGAACCGGAAAGATCGTTGTGCTTCAGGTCGAGCCGGGTTAGGGTTTTGGAGACGAAAACCGGGACCGAACCGGATAAACGGTTGTGACAGAGAATAACGTTGGACAATGCCGGCAACTGTCCGATGGACCAAGGAATATTCCCGGCGAACTGATTGAAACTGAGATCGAGCGTCTGCAATCCCCGGAGCTGCCCAAGAGAAGCCGGAATCTGGCCGGAGATAAAATTCCTACTGACTCCCAGAAACCTAAGATTCTTCAACTGCGACAGACTTTCCGGCAATGCCCCGAATATCCTCCCGGGAACCACCGTAAACTCAGCCAGACCAGACAACTTCCCAATAGCCGCGTCCAGCTTCCCCGTCAAGCCCGGCGACCCCGCCCGCGGGTCACCGAGATTCAACGCAATCACCTTATCACCGTCGCAGTAAACTCCGGGGAAATTACAGGGGTCGGAGGTGAAATCCCAGGAAGCAAAGAAATTAGACCCAGGCAAATCAACCAATCTCTTCCGAATCGCTTGCAGAGCCAAGAAATCAACAGGGTCAAGAATCCCATTCACCACAACACAAGAATGAACAAGAATGGCCAACAAAGCTACAAACTTTATCATCCCCATCGCCATTGTCGTTCTCCCTGTACTGTAATCAATCTCAATCTGCTTGGAGATAAACAGAGCAATGAGAGAGGGGTATAAATAGCGTAGAAATGCGGGCTTTTGGGAACACTTTTCCGTGAGAAACAGGTGATTCTCGTGGACTATGGGGTCGGGAAAGCTTTAATGAAGACAGCATCAAGGTTGCAGAGATGGAAGGTACCAACCAAAACAGCAAAAAAAAATTTAGGTAGAAGAAAGAGTGGCTTCAGAGGAAAGCAAAGAGATTAAAAGAAAAAGAAAATATAACTTTTTCTGATTCTTGGGTTCTGTACGGTTTCTTGTGGCTTGGCTGGGAAGATGCCGGAAATAATGAATTCGCTACTACTCCTACTGCCACTACGAAGGCGATGGAATTGATTTTTTTAATTTTATTTTTTTTATTGGGATTAGGTTCGTGAGCAAACGGTTGTCCGAGCCTACTTGGAACTACATGGAACTGGGATTCATCTTGACACATCAGCAGGCTCGGGGTCTACAGGCTGATTAGGACGAGAATCACGTGACCGTGGCATGGCTGCTGCCTAGATAGTAAAAAAAGTTTCCTCTTTTATTGCCTTTCTTTTTCTTTTTCTTTTCCAAAGTAACCATGGATACTAACATTTATTACTATTTAAAAATGTCTCACTCTGTGTAATAGCTTACAAATTATATAAATAATATAAATTAAATCAAATTAGGAAGATTATGTATCATGATTTCGACTAGGAGAGTCTTTTTATTTTTATTTTAGTAATATTAACACATATTTAGATGATGAGTTTGAAAATTGAGAAGAAAAACAGTTTTTAAGGGTTAATTCATTTTTGATTGATAATAGAGTCAAAGTTTGTATAATTAATTTTCACTAATTATTACAAGACACGTGATACAAAATTTCAATTAATGTTTTTTTTTTAAGTTTTCCTATTTGGCTATTTAGAATTGTATTATATTTAATGGTCAAATTTAAAATCTCTTATTCAATAACTGGTCAATAAATATTATGTAAAATTTGTTTGATTAAAAGTATGCCAAATGCTAAGCATCTTGTACTCAGTTGGTATGTAGTGATTCTTTCATATGAGAGTATGAGATCGAGCATCAGTGGAGGTGGTGTTGACTCTTTATGCTTCAACAGGTTGCGAAAGTATATATAAACATCTAATACAATGTAATAGATTCACTAGCTTTCAAAAAAAAAAAAAAAAAAAAAGTATGCCAAATATTTTCTTTTGTTTTTTTTTTCTCTTTTTAAAACATTGATGCATAAATGTAATTGGTTATTCAATTTTCAATGAAAAATGGTTAGTACACTTTGATGAAGTATTACTCACACTACATATTTTGATCTCACTTGATGAAAAGAAGAAAAAAAGTATGTGAATCCTTTTTTTTTTTTTTTTTAAGTAAATCAATAACTCATGTTAGAATATAATTAAAAATATATATAATAAAGAGGAGGTCTATCCTTACCCTTAACTATATTGTCCATAATCCAGTCTTAGATGATTAATTTAACAAGAAGACCCTCATTCAGGATTAAAATTCACTAATATAAGTTATAGTCTATCTTCACATAAGAAATCAAGTGTTGCATCCTCAGTTATCACCAAAGTCCTCATACATCTTAGATGAAAGAGAAGCTTATTTAGGGCTCATGCTAGGGGCATGTGTATTCGAAAGACATAACAAGTGACATTAATTAGATACGATAGTCATATTTCACCAACTTAATCACCCCCTTTTTAGACTAATAATGTGGTCAACTTCACGATATACGATCGGAGAGGTGTCCTCCCAATCTTGCGGATCTATAACCAGTTCTCTGTCTTGAGGAGTTAAGGAACTGGGTGAGATATATGGCTAATTCGGGAATGTCTAAGGTAGTTGAAGATTCAAATTAAAGTCCCCTCCTTCCTTAAGCAATAAATGCTCCTTATATAGGCAGGTTTAGGGACACATGTCAGGATTTTAGCATGTCTTACATATGCAAGGCGAAGGTTCGACAATCAAGGAGATTGTGTCAAGAAGTATGAGAAGGTGATGAGACGTAATCTAACTACTCCTTTAGTCTAGGGGTACGTTTAAGAGGTATGTTGGGTGAGATATTGTTCCGCGGACCGCAAGTATATAGTTTTCCTGGTTACATATGATTAGGCCACTGAGAAATCGTCCTGATCAAGTCAATGATGTTTGTCTCAAGCCGACTTATTTTGTACGAGCTCGATTGTGTCTGTATAATCTTTATCGGGGGCTAAAACTCAAATTTTTAATGAAACAAAAATAACAAATATAGTTATTACTACACACATAATAATCACATAGTAACTACTATGGATTAGTTTGAACTACCACATGAGCGTAGGCACCCCTCGTACAACGTAAAACATGTCCGCAAAGGAAATATGTGACATTATAGAGGAGTAGGTTATCCGCATAAATTGACAGATCGTACATATTATTTATGTGCTATAATGTGAAGTAGTTTATCAGATTGAAAAATGTAGTAATTTTTTATTAGCGTCTACTTAATTGGTTGCTTCATTTATGCTATTTTAAATGTGGTAGCTAGCTACAATGAGTACAATCTAACAATTTATATTAACGGTATGAATAGAATAAAATAATAAAATAAGAATTTGGTTAACTAATTATATATTTTTACGATGAAAGTTATAGCGTAATTACTACAAGGTATAGTAGAAAGGCAGAGTGGACCTCCACTTTCTGCAATATGATGTAGAAACGGCCTCCCTAACTATAATATGAGCGTATAATAATTATATTTTTTGGGGATTAATTTTATAATGTGGTGGACAATATCTAAGTAATATTATATTTGGTGAGTTAATTTTTTTTTATTTTTTTTTGGGGGGTGATGGGGTAAGGACCCCGGCCCAAGAGAGAGAGGCCCAAAGGAAATGGTTCGAGACTGGAGAAGTGGGCCAGCGTCCGAGGAGCCCGAAGAGCAATTGGGCCGAGTCCTGGAGTCGGCCCAGGCCCAGGCACGGGGCCCGTTTCAGAACTGCTAAAGAGGAGCCCAGTGAGAGCTTAGGCTGAGACGAGGAGTCGACCAAGGCCCAAGCCCAGGGAAAGACTCGGTTCAAGGAGCCGTTGAGAGCATTGAAGAAGCTCGTTTAAAAGGGAGCCGTTAGGGCATTGAAAGCAGGACCCGCTCAGGCTGTTACAAGCCTAGAAGAGCCGTTGGTCGACCGAGTAATGGCGTCCAACGGCTCCATATCTTGATTAGTCTTGAAGTCGGCCATTAAGGGCCTTCAAGTCGGTAGAGGAGGAGCCGCTATTTAAAGGCTCCTCCAGTCTTGTAAAAGGGGACGAACGATTGAACACCCGGAGAGGGGAGAATACCAGAGAGAGATTCCGAATACTAGCATTATTTCCGAGATAGGCATACATTTTTATTGAAAGGTGTATCCTCCAGCCAAAGGTTGTGTTGGACCTCCTTGGACCAGAAAACCCAAAAATCATAGGGGGGTTAAGAGAAAATAAAACATTATAGGTAAATAGACCATAAAATACCAACATCTAAGGTCCGAATGTATATAAAGCATAATCAAAATGATTTTCTTGGAGGAGAATGAAAAATATGAATGCCAAATTGCAGGTTATATTGATGAGTCGTAATTCAATAGACATTTGTATTGACTTTTCAATTCTATGCGAGTTCTACTATGTACTCCCAAATCTTACTCCATCAATTTTATTCTTTGGTGTGATAAGTTACTTTTTCTATGTGCAAGTCTCAATGTAAGTGTCTACATCAAAGTTTTATGTGTGAGAGTAAAAGTTGAGATTAAAAAATGAGAATACGCATAGCATTTTCCTTTCTATGCACACCACGAATTGCCACTTGGGTGTTTAGTAGGATGGAATTGTAATTCCATTCTTATCAAACTCCATAGAATTGCAATTTCATGGTTTGGTTGGAGGAATTAGAGTTATGTGGATTTGACGGAATTGCAATTCCCTCCAACCACGGAATTACAATTCCTATGGAGACCCTAGCAATTGCAATTTCACACTTTGTGAATTGTAATTCTACGGTGAATTACTATTTTACCCTTATTCTTCTTATTATATTATTATTATATAAGACATTTTAATCTTTACTATTTTTTTTCTTTTAATTATCCATCATTCTATTCCTGCATATCAAACCATGTAATGTAAATTCTAACTTTATTTTTTTTTTGAAAGGTAATTCTAACTTTATTCTTTCTCATGAAATTATAATTTAATTATCCCTTTCCAACCAAACGCACTAGTAACATCTCTGACTTAGGAGTTCACAGATCAATGGACTATGCATGTCATAAAATACAGGTTACTCGATCTTACATTGCCGTCGGTAAGACTTGATCCCGAATCATTGTTTTCAAATTTTACATCTGTAATTAATTGAGCTGGTCATGCGGGTTTAACTGAACTAATATGTATAGTCCATATCACGTAAGTACAATCTTTTGGAAAGCATGAAACGGTGGTTGATGATGAGTTGATGAGGCGGAGATACTCATGAAAATTGAACACATGATCGAGCTCAAAACTGTAAATGTTTGCTCCATCTCATCATCATAAACATATTGAATATAATGCAGCAAAAAGTAGATTGAAGCTGACAAAGAGAATGCACGCTATGAGTTGAAAACTCTTGCTCCAATAAAAGCATTCACCTCCCCAATATTTCATCAAAATTAACAATTATTGGTACGCGATATGAATTTAACTTGATGAGATTATAGAGCAGTTCAACTGTCTATTTCCTTAAAGTCCACAAAAAATCATTCATTTGTTGGAGTTAAAAAGACACTTTCTCTCTTCTTTTTTCCTTTAGTCCACATCACAATACTCCACAAAAAACCACCAAAAAGTTATTGGTGTGGTTGTTCCAAATAATAAACAACAGTTTCAGCATTAACAACAATTTCAGCATTCACCTCCCCATATTTCATCAAAATTAATAATTATTTGTACGCAATTTGAATTTAACTTAATAAGATTATAGAGCAGTTCAACTGAATCGGTAATCTAAATAGTAGATCTAGGATGAAGTTGTAAAATTAGTACATATTTTAGAATACTTGACTGATTAGAGACAATTGAAAAGTCAATTTAATTACCAAGTCTGACCACTTAATAGGCTTAAACCCATCACACTATTAGACTAGCTCTCCTTCATCTTTTGATAGGCTGGCTTGCACTATTTGACAAGCCTATATTGTCGCTTAATAGGCTATTCACATATATCAATTTTTGTTTTTGTTTTTGAAAATACACATATATCAATTAGAGCACACCATATCTAAGCCACTTATCAAGTGGTTATCATGACATTAGTTATACGCTATTAAAGTGTATATAGAACCCTTCTTGCACAACT